GTAAATCTGAAACAGTCCCTTCCTCCACTGTTAATTTCACTTTACTGTCTTTGGATGAAGAGAAGCACTGTCCCATGCGAGATATATAGGAGGCAACGCATCTGAAATCAAATATATATGCATGTGATTTCATTTTGGATCATGTTTAATGGAACGCCGGATACTTTTTAAATGTTGCAATAGGTCACTAAAAAATAGTACTTCTTAAAACACAACAGAGCTAATACGCTTTACGATGAAAATGCTATAAGGAATAATCCATAGGAAAACAGTATTGCAAAAATTAATTGACGTTTTATACGCTTAGACTCGTTCATTAGATCTTTTTGAAAATTAACTAGAACTTCGTTATACTTCTTAATTACCAATTTCTACACAAATCTTGAAAGGCCAAAACTTTGTAGCCAAAACAGTCACACGTACCTTTCTCTTTTAAAATCTCCCATCCATTCTCTTATGCTCTCCACGGTATTCACATCATCCGGGGCGAACATCCATATGCCATGTTCCCGTAACTGACTGTTGGAGCAAGCAAGAAATTTGTAATGTCGGCCAGCAACTTCCAAACCTTCTACTAGATAGTTCTTCATGACCGCATCCAGCACGACGTCCAGTCCGCCTTTTTCCATTTGAATCAGTTTCTCAAAATCTTCATCACGGATGATCAGTCTTAGGAACCGTTCATGGCCGTATTTCCGAACGACTCGGTTCAGTGACACGGGCTCTGGTTGAAGAAAATAGAGGTGAGTTGGTAAAGCGAGAGCGCGAGGAATTAAAACATACTGGTCAGGTAGATTACTCTGGCTATCACCGGCCACTCCTGGCTGCAGTTCACGAACCAGAAGAGCATCCAAAGTCTCGAACCTTTCCTCGTCAACTATGTCCGTCAAATGGTACAGCACCATTGCCAAGTTGGGCTGGTCAAGAACACTTGACAATCTTCCCAAGAAAATGTCGTCTATTCGATCGGCCACAGTGTAGCCTCGTGAAAGAAGGCAGTTATACGCGTATGCCACTTCAAATGATGGAAAGTTCAAAAGCGGCAATGGGAGTGTGCGAGTCTTGCCACGTTTTACGGGCGTGAAATATATTGTGAATCCGCAGTTCTCAAGTCTCCGCAGTATGCCATCTGTATTGCCGTCGTTCATGTTGTACCTTACACAAAGAGCAGAGGAGGCCCCCAAATCCTGTGCTTTGCATGACGCAAAATCCACTAACCTCACCGATTGAGTATAATTCATGACTTCAACTTCGAATTGTATGGTGGGTTTGGACTTCATGAAAAGGTAAATATCTGAGCCCTCTTCTGTTGGTGTTGCATCCACGATGGCATAATTTTCAAGGCTGCTGTACCGAAAACTGCAACAAATCTCTTGGTATGATTCCGAAAAACCGAATTCATCGTCTGAACATGACTTCAATTTTTTTGTTATCTGCAGGTTTTTTTCTTTGTGATCAAATGTTACCCTTATTTGAGATTCTGCGCAATGATCAACAAAGCAGTTGTGGGATTTGAAAGCTCCAAATCTAACTGTCGTGCCATTAATTACATGCTTTGGTTCTATCCACCCTTTTTTACTCTTCTTCTTTTTCCTTTCCAGCCACAGGGGCACCATAAACTCCTTCAGACCTTGGCACCATTGCACTTCAAGATACTTTTCATGCTGATGCTGTGAGTTCAACTTCATTTGCACTGATCTTGCCTTTCTTGTTTTCAATAACCCTGAAATAATGCACATACATGTATCAACGGCACGTCCATGATAAAATCTTTAGCTTTAATGAACCAAGGCGTTTTCCTAGTGTTTTAAGATAACTAAAACAAAACTTGTTCAGGAGATCGATAAAACACAGATCTTTACGAATTCCCCACTTTTCATCTTAAAATTGCTACTTTTAAATGGCAGAGAAGAGTACGATAGTACATTGAAATATCTAAATTCAGGATATCAAGTAGAGAAATGCGTATCGTATCCGACTTAGAAAACTGAAAAAAAAAAGGGTAAAAAATAACAGAAATTATAACGTGAAACATAATACTTTTTCGAAAATTTCTTTTTGATTTCATTCCAGTTAACGTACCCAAGTCGGCTTTCTGTGCAACTTCGTTCACTGCGTATCCTGGGAGAGCTTTTCCAATAACATCTCTCGTCTCGTTATCTGAGAAGTTATGGATGGTGATAAGACATTCTCCTGTCGACAGATCCCTGAGAGGTTGATCAGTGTTGGTCCTTTGTTGACCCTCTCGTCTGACCTCTTGGCGATGGACAGTGGGCCTGTTTGGTCGGGAGGGTCTAAAACGCTGGACCCTCAAAAAAGGTTCAAGGTTCAAAAAAATGTCTTGAGGTGTAAACAGTACGTTGGTTGCACTTGAACTGCTTTCAGTTCGAGGTTTGTCGGCGGCATTAACATCTGGTGTGTTCTCAATATTGATATCACCACCAAAATCTGAACTTTGGACAGCAGCGCTTGCTAAAGTTGGAGGACTGGGAATCGTATTTGGCTCAGGGGAGATCCGTATATCAGCATTACAGGCAAAATCTTGGGTGATTTGCTTGCCGACCAAAACGCTATTTTCTACATTGGTACTGATTAGTGTTTCGTTTACTGGCTCAGACCGACCAAGATTATCTTCAGTAACTAGTGTTTGTTGAGTAACATTACCACTTAAATTACCAACTTCATCAGGACCAGCGATTTCAGTGGAACTAGACCTAACCAAATCCGGTACCTCCGTGACACAATCCTCTTCTGAATTTTCTAAGAAGGCTATCGATGCTTCATTGGTTGTCTGTTGGCTCTCAATATCTGGGATGATACCACCAGGTGTATTTGAAAACCCGTCCTGTTTAGGATCAGTTTCAGCTTCTCCAGCAGCTCCTGCCTCCGGTTTTGCATCTTCCTCAGGGTCACAGCTCCGACGCTTTTGCTGAAGCAAACTGCAAACCTCATGCAAATCGCTGGTTTGAAGTGGGTAAGAAGCTTCGGGGGATTTAGGGGCTTCAAACGAGTTTGGTGCACCTGGCTGGGGTACAATATCGTTCTTTTTATCATTCTTGTCAGAAAATTGGTCAGACAAAAAACATATTTCTTTATTGCCTTCTGCCTTCTCCTCACTTTCCCGTGAGTAAATAACTTCAAACTCTTCACTGTGCGGACTAACCCGAAGGTTTCCAGTATTATCTGCATCAGGCGCTAATGTAACTGTTGATGGTGTGGATGCACGCATGTCCTGACTATCTAAGGGCACTTTATCAGTGCTTGATTCATTATTTTCTGTGAAAAATGGAGTCACCATCTGCTTTTCGGTCAAACTTTGCTCAGACTTTTCAAGAGCTTCTTCCGAAAAGTTAGACATCAAAGAAATTTCTTCGGGTGTGTTTTCGTGGTTGTTGGAGGTTAAAGGTCGCCCCTCATAGTTGATAACCATTTGTGCCGCATCAAGGCCCACCGTCTCATGCCTCATCTTTAACTCAGCCAATGCTTTGGACAACACACGTCGCTGACCCAGCGTGACAGCAAGGAGCTCTATATCTGCTTCTTCCATAAGTACTAGCGATTCTGGGGTGTCAAAATCTTGGTCTTTTAATGCCACTTTTGTCTTCTCTTTGATACCATTGGCAGAGCACCAGGAATCAAGGAAACAACACCCTGATGGCTCACATTGGCCTTGGTCTGAAGACGGCGCCTGTGCCATGCTTCGGTTTCGCCTGTTTGATGCGAGGTGTGTTGCCGATGAGGTTTCTTAACTCTGTCTGCATGTAAAAAAGTAATAACATGCCATTAAATGAAAAAAAATTAAAATCTTAAATATGTACAAAATAAATATGCACAGAGGTCTGTCGTATACTGTTTATCAATCCCATGCATATCGTTCATCTCTTGTATGGAAGTGAAACAAAAGAAACCAAATAATCCCAATTTCCAATAAACTGACGTTGTAATCTATCATAAATGATACACTGTAAAAACAGTGTTTAGCTCCTAAACACATTTCTAAGCGCCTGTTTTGTCTCACTTTTTCGACGCGTTTAGCTCCTAACATGCTTAGCTCCTTAACATGTTACACGCTTGTGTTTAGCAGTATGACGCGCTTGACGGCTTATAAATGTAAGGTTTTTGTTTAGCTTTTAGGTGCTAAGGGTTTCAACTGTTTTAGTCCCACCCACGCGCGCGCACGCACACACACGCAGACGAACCTACGGTCACCTTTAACTGCTATAGTTATCTCTTTCTATAACAGGGTACCGTGAACTGTCAACATCGTTGACTTCCCACTATCATCTTTACAGCTGGACTTATTCATCCTTGTGTTGGCTGACCTTGCGAGGAAGTTTATTGGAATGTATTTCTGAAAAGCAGGTTATGAAAATTCACTAGTTCACTAAAGGCACGAAACAACTATCATTTTTACTTTAAAACACCTTTCTCCATATTTTGATAAAATGCGTTACGGTATTGATATTTATTTATTTTTTCCGGAAGTAATGAACAATAGGACATCAGGATGATGGTGGGGTATTCATTATAATACTTTATTTAAACTTTCATCACATGCCGGTTATTTCGGTACCGATAGTCCGAATATTCTACAATTCGCACCGCTCTAGTCGCCGACTAACCCCAAGCCCATTTTGGAATTAACCGCTAACTGTAGTTCAAACAGCATAAGACTTGTTTCGGTTATTTATATAAAAAATGTTTTCAAAACATTATATAATGTCTTTCCAGAATGTTATAAACACGCTGATAAAAC